GGGGCGCGGACAGGAGGCTCTGTCCTCCCCTTTCCTCTCCACCCGCTCACTGTCATTCTTGATGGGCAATTTTCTAGTACCTTTATTCTCTTCCTCCATTGTATTCACTGATTTGTCCATTTCACTGTTTCATTGATTCAGCTATAAAATGGGTGAAAGTACAAAGAAAGTCATGTCTAGAAGTACACAGTCTTTCAGATGCTTAGTTTTTACTTTGCTGCTACTGATGGCAGCACAGCAGGAAAATGGAGTGGGGTAGGTCACCTCATTTTGTGTATAGCAGTGGCAGTCAACTTTTTTAGCAAGTTTGCCACAAGCTAAGCCCTGTTTTCTCCCTAAATACACCGCTTCCTCCCTGGATACACTCTGAAGCCTGCCTCCCTCTTCCTTTCTACTCCCCTGCACTTTCTCTACCTGATAGTTTGTGCCCTGGGGCACCAGAATAGAGGCACTTGATCCTCTGACTGAGAAGGTAGAGGCCAGATTCTGCTGGGAGAGAGGTGTTTTTGTCAAAAGCCAGGTTAACCTTTTTCTGGCCCCACAACTGCCACAGTATGGCAGAGGAGGATCCAAAGCCATGAATCTGGTGGTGGCTGCAAGGCTAGGAAAGGGTTAAACTACCTCTTGGTCATGACCAGGGATCTGTGGGTTTTCCCTTGCAGGGGGGCAGATGGAGGCAGCCATGGTGAGGGAGGGAGCAGGACAGAGTTGGAGGCTGTGGCTGTCTGGTTGGGGCTGGAATACATGGCCACAGGGCCCAGCTGGGGCAGTGGGACAGAGCCATGAGGCAAGCTGGTTCCCTGCCCCTGTGTGCACTCCCTGGGAGGGGTTGGGCAGCAGAGGCACCATGTCGGGGTGTATGGGGGAGTAGCACTTGCCTCTGCAGATTTGCTTATGGAGTGGGGAGGATGCAGGCTGCCCACTGCGGGGCTTTAGGCCCACTGCCCTGCTGCCCTCCCCCTGGGGGCCTCCATGGCCCAGTGGGTAGGTCCTGATGTGGGAGGCCAGGGCAAGGAGACTTAGTCTGTTGCTTCTGCCACTAGGGACCCTGTGCCAGCCATGATGCTAAAGTGAGGTGCCCCCTGCCTGCCTGCGAAGGGGGGGAGGGTACAAATCTGTGCCATCGCTGCTGCTGGGGAGCATGATGCAGCTGGCGTGGGGCTTGCAGGGGTGGTGGCACCGAGTCTGTCTGGCCTACCATGCTGGGTCCTGCCTCCTGGGTTACAGAGAGCCCCAGGAGGAAGGCAGCAGGGTGGGGAGCTCCAAGCCCCTCAGGTAGCCCGCATCCTTCCCTGCCCCTCACAGGCTCTGCTTGCTTCTGGGCTCTGGTTGTACCTCCCAAGGGGGGCAGGTTTCATGCTCTGCTGTGGCCACAGCGGTCGCTGCATCCTGTGTGTGGCTGCCAGGGCTTAGGGTCTGTTGGCTGGCTGTGGCTGGCACCTGCGGAGCGGGAAGTGGGTAAGATGCAGCCGCCCGGTCCTGTAGCTCTGGCAGCTGGTGGCCCCCTTCAGCAGGGGTGGGGGGCGTCTGGGGGCCCCGGTTCGGGAGTGAGGGGTCTCGGCAAGGACAGGGAAGCTGTGACTCAGGAGTGAGGGGCACCAGCAGGGCTGGGGGTGTGGGGGGCTATGGGTTGGGAGTAAGGGGCACTGGCAGGGATGTGGGGCTGTGGTTTGGGAGTGAGGGGCAATGACATGGGCACAGGGCCGTCCCTGGGTGGGTTGAACCAGAGCAACCACCCTGGGCCCTGTGCTTTGGGGAGCCCCACAGACAGTGTTATACAGGCCCTGCCACACACTCGCTGCTGAGTGCTGCCGGCATAGGCCCCCCTCTCGCCTCACCCCAAGCCCTGCACACTGCTAGGGATGGCTCCGTGGGCAGGATACTGGCATATCAGGGCTACTGAGCACCACAAAGGGGGACAGGCACAGCTGGACCCACATCCTGGTAAATGAAGGGGAACCTCTGATTTTCTATAATTAAAAATGCAAAATCAAACACCAAAATTATATAGTTATTTAGAATTTATTTTATTACAGTGATGCACTGGTAGGCTTCCAAATTTCATTAAAATGTTAAATATATCAACAAAAGATAGTGTTCAACTGATACCTATGTATATGGTGGTGTTTCATTTTAATCATGGAAAAACAGGTACTCTGGGTTTTTTAATTGGATAATTTTGGTTTTATTTAATTCAATTTTTATTGGAGAACTTGGCCATGATACTGTGACACCTGTTCCATGTGGCTGGAAGCCTGAGTGCATGAGGCTCCAGTGCCCCACACAGTAGTTGTCTGGGTCACTTCTCACATGTGCTACTGGATGGCCACCCCTGGTGTTGATAAAACATTTTTTTTTCTTTTTGAGGGAGAAATTCAGCAAGATGTTTATCCTTCTGACACATTAAAAGAACATTATCCTCATTTTAGTTTAGCAAAGTTGTCTATGCAGAACTTTGAAATTGGTTCCTTAAAGTGAATGAGAATGAAGTTCATACTACATTTACAAAGGTCCATTTTAAGAGTTTTCATTAATTTAAACTCAAATGAGTTGTTGGGCCAGATCTGGACTGCAGGGCTTTGGCTGTGGCTGCCACCACTTCTGTTTCAGTGTGGCCAGTACCCAGCCAATTTTAGGCACTAACAATGACCAAAACAATAAATTCTCTGGCAGCTTTTAGTTCATGCTTATACTGCAGCTCCAGCAGTCACAGTAACAGGGCTGAGTGCAGTGGCATTAACTCCCTGGCTGCTGGCAGCTGCTGCAAAAAACCCCATGGACTGGATGACCCATCTCTGATTTAACGTAATAAAAAGTTAATACAGTACATTTTTAATTTTTCTAGTTTACCTTTTAGGTCAGGGGCGGACAAGTATTTTGGGTGGAGGGCCACTTACCCAGTTTTGGCAAGCTGTCAAGGGCCGCGTGGGTCACCATTTTGGGACCAGTGTCCCAAGGCCAGCACTGGTGGGGCCAAAAGCGGGGCACAGGCTGACAGGGGTCTGTGGAGCCGGGCTGGGCTGCACCAGCAGGGAGAGTGGGGAGCTGGCACGGCTCTATAGAGCCCCTGCTGGCTGGGACACTGTGCTCCTGCCATCCTGCTCTGGCCCCGCCAGCACTAGCCCCGGGTCACCAGTGCAGGCCCTGTGCTCCTGTTGGCTCCCCACCCATTCACTCCCAGTGCCTCCCAGCCCCATGGTACAGGCAGAAGGCAGCACACAGCCCTGACCCCCTGCTTGCCAGCAGGAAGAAGCTGGTGCTGAGTGTGGGGAAGAGCAGCCCCTTGCCCGCCCCATGGCCGGCGCTCCCTGCTGCAGGCACTTGCAGCCCACGCAGGGCTCTCTGGAGCAGGCACAGGCAGCTCCATGCAGGCTGCAAGCAGCTACAGTGCAGGGCGCCAGCCATGGGGTGGGTGAGGGGCCACTTTTCCCTGC